ACACACACACACACACACACACACACACACACACACACACACACACACACACCACATTTTCATGCATATGAGTGGAATGTCCACAGGGGCCAGAAAAGGGCATTGGACCCCCTGGAGCTAAAGTTACAGGCAGTGGTGAGCTGCCCACTGTGGGTCCTGGGAACTGTACTTGGATCCTCTACAAGAGTGGTAATCTTTTTTTTTTTTGTTTGTTTGTTTGGTTTTTTTTTTTGAGACAGGGTTTCTCTGTGTAGCTCTGGCTGCCCTGGAACTCACTTTGTAGACCAGGCTGGTCTCAAACTTACAGAGACCCACCTGCCTCTGCCTCCCAAGTGTTGGGATTAAAAGCATGCACCATCACTGCCTGGCAACAGTACACCATCTTAAACTTTTAAAAAGTATTTATTTTATTTTCTTATGTGCATTAGTGTTTTTCCTCTGTGTGTGTGTGTGTGTGTGTGTGTGTGTGTGTGTGTGTGTGTGTGCATTATGTGTATGGTTGATGCCCAGGAAGGTCAGAAGAGGGTCTCAGATCCCCTGGAACTGGAATCATAGCCTGTTGTGAACCACCATGTGGGTGTAGAGAATTGAACTCAGGTCCTCTCTGTAAGAGCAGCCAGTGCTCTTAACTGCTGACCCACGACTCCGGCCTTAGTATGCCGTCTTAACCACTGAGCCTCCTCTCCGGCCGCACACCCATTACATTACTTTAAACTCTGCTGAATGGTGGTTGACTGTGATGCCTGAACTGTAAGACCGTCAGCTTCTTTTCTGTCAGATGGGACCTGTTATCGCCCGTCACTCACAGGTGTGGGTATGTTGGGGCAGCGAAGGGAAATGGGTGTAGCATAAAGAACAAATCTGGGGCTGGAGAGATGGCTCAGCGGTTAGGAGCACTGGCTGCTCTTCCAGAGGACCTGGGTTCAATTCCCAGCGACCACATGGTGCTTTACAATCATCTATAGTAGAATCTGCATGCAGGCATACATGCAGATAGAGCATTCGTATACTTAAAAATAATAATAATAATAAAAAACCCGAATCTGTCTACTACTGACCCTGCTGAAGTCATCGCCATAGCTATTTCCTGCCCTTCTTGGGACAAGACAAACCTCTGATGAGCCTCCGGTTGGAAGGACCCTTGAAAAGGATTTGGATCTCTCCTTCACAGATGGAGCAAAAGCATTTAAATGACCTCTTTGAGAAATACGTGCCCTTGCTCATCGACATGATCATAGAGGGGATCGTGGACGGGAGACAAGGGGAGAAGCTTAAGATGGTTGTTCCTCAGACGGACCTGAACATGGTGAGAACCCTTCCGCTTCCCGGGGAGAGGGACCCGGGAGGTGGGGGAGGGGCCTATAAAAGGGGGCAGAGGTGGCGGACGGGTGACTGTCAGGGCACCTTCCTGTGACCCCGACGCAAGCTAAGGGGCCAGGCTCCGTGTGTCCAAGCCAAGATGGCGGGTGTTGATGCCATCCCTGCGGGATGCAGGACGCAAAGGACTCAGGACAGGACAGCATCGTGGAGGTCAGAAGGATGGACTGAGCCAGGCTTTCTGTGACCAGGTGATCCAGTTAACCAAGATGATGGACTCGCTCCTAGAAGGGGAAATCGAGGACCCTGACCTGCTAGAGTGCTACTTCCTGGAGGCACTCTACTGCTCCCTGGGCTCCTCCCTGCTGGAGGAGGGAAGAGTCAAATTTGACGAGTGCATCAAACACCTCTCGTCAATGCCCACCGTGGACACGGAAGGGCGCTGGGCCCGCCCTGGAGAACTGCCGGGTAGGAGTCATGACCCGATCCTTCGGTGCAGATTTGCGGAGGAGGAGGAGGGGACCTTGCTTTTCCTTGTCCCTGCCTGTGTGGCGAGGCCACTGCCATGCTCAGGGCTTCCAGTGCGTCGCCCACCCCAGCGGGCCCAACACCCTTAGCCACTGCGGCTGGAGGGGGCTGTGCCTCCGACTCCATCGTGGACCCTTATGTACTAGCTCTGGCCGAGCTCGCCACACTCGACACACTCCGGGGTTCCCCATTTTTCCTCTGGGCTCCCCCATCCGTCTCATAGACAGGCCGATGAGTCACAGGAAGGCATCCTATAAAGGATTTTTGCCTGAATGTGTGCGCCTTTAGTTAGAAACAGGTGGGGCCCCCAGATGGCCTTCTGCTTGGAGAAGTGGCCTGTCTGAGAGACGGGTGGGCGTGGCACACATGTGAATGGGGATTCTAGCCAGGAAATGGTCTAGGGAGCGGGGATGGGGGGTGGGGGGGTGTAAGGGGGGCTGGGGGAGGTGGGGGTGGGGGTGCAGATGGTGGGCGGGGCTTCAGCTCTGGAGCTATCTTTGACACCATGCTTCTTCTTTTCTTCCCCGCCCTGTCTTTGCCAGATGCCCTATTGGTCATGGGGTCATGGGGTCATGGGTCATGGGGTCATGGGTCTTACCTGTACTTCTCTAGTCTTAGAGTTCAGCATCTGCATCAAAGCTGTCTGTTTATTTGCCTCTACCCTTGCCTGGGCCATCACCAAGAGTGGGGTCATGGCTTTGTGTCACATGGTTGTGTCCCCGAGGAAGGACTGGCGGTTAGCTGCAGAAAGGTGGCGCTGGTTCAAAAGTCCCAGATTCTGACCCAGGAGAGGACAGCATCAATTCTGAGTACTCACTGACTACCTCTCCCGTGAAGGGGTAGCAAGCGAGACTGAATGTAGCTCTGAGGTGGACAGGCAGCTCATTCCAGATGCACTAGACTCTATCCTGTCCCCCATGTCTATGACAAAAGCCACATGGACCCTTGTCCCCCGGCAGGGCATCTTCCCACCCTGTACGACTTCCATTTCGATCCCAAGCGGAACTACTGGATCCCATGGAGCAAGCTAGTTCCTGAGTATGTTCACAGCCACGAGAAGAAATTCATCGACATTCTGGGTATGTCAGCTCCAGCCCCGGTCCTCCTGGTGTGAGCCGGTGTGAAAGGGTGTAAGTGGGCGTGAGCTGGTATAAGTGGGCATGCAAAGAAGACCATGGCCTCGTTGGCAACTGAGTGCCATCCAGGAACTGGCTGGGAATGACTAGAGGGTGGCACCATCGGCCCCTTGGGGTCCCATTTTGTCCCACACCTCTGAGCACCTCTGTGTGGCTGTGACCTGGGCTTTTCCCTGTAAGCCGATGCCCACGATAGCCTGTTCTCCGTTTTCCTTTATGTCTCCTGGGGCATTCCAGCCACAGAGGTGGGCATGGGGAGGGTAGGAGGGAAGCCCCAGCAGCAGGTCACAATGGGCGTGGACCTTGACAGAGCCTTGATCCGTCCTGTATGATTCCACAGTAAGCCTGTCTGGTCTGGGGCATGTTGCTTCTGGAGCAAGACATCTGCATTTTCTCAGGAAACCGCGCCCCCCACCCTTCCCATTGAAATGGTCCCATGGAGAGTGGGTGGGCTGGACCTGACTGTGGTGATGCTGCCTTTCGCAGAGGTTTTCAGGAAATTGGGCCTACAGGTGCCTGAGGTGTGAGTCGGGGAGAAGAGGGGTTTTCATTCTGAGCGCAAATCAGATGGAGTTCAGGGAGCTGGGTGGTTGAAGTTGGCTGCCATTACCACAACCACTTTGCCAAGGAAATGTGCCGGACTCAGTTACACACTTTGATTGGGCGGATGTCGTGCCTCCAAAAAGCCATGGAATGTCTGGGAAACAGAGACTAGGCTTTATCCAGATTCACCTTTGCAGCCAGAGCTTGGCTTAAAAACAAAGCAAAGCAAAAATACCAGGTGGTGGTGGTGGCGGCGGCGGCAGCACTCGCCTTTAATCCCAGCACTCAGGAGGCAGAGGTAGGAAGATCTTTGAGTTCGAGGCCAGCCTGGGCTACAGCATGAGGACAGCCAGGGCTGTTATACAGAGAAACCCTGTCTCGGAAAAAAAAAAAAACAAAAAAAAAAACAAAAAGCCTGTGCGTGTGTGTGTGTGTGTGTGTGTGTGTGTGTGTGTGTGTTACAGGACTATGCACCTGGGCACACTTGTGGAAGCATGAGCAGGCTGTCAGGTGTCTTCCTGGGCCTGTTCTGGTTATCCTGACTGGCCAGCAAGCTCTCAGGTTCTTCCTGTCTCCACCTCCCTGGTGTTAAAGGCACCCACAGCCACACGCAACTTTTAATGGAGGCACTGGAGATTTAAACGCTGGTCCCCATGCTTCTAGAGCTAGGCTCTTACCCACTGAGCCACCTCTAATCCCAGCGCTCGGTGTTTGCTGCCTCCTGCTGGATGCATGGGACTCTGTGTGAGCACCAGGTGGCCAAGGGCTCAGAGTTCCTGGGACAAACCTTATTCTTTCATCTTTCAGTTCACACAGTGGATACGACCCGCACCACCTGGATCCTGGAGCAGATGGTTAAAATCAAGCACCCTGTCCTTTTTGTGGGTGAATCGGGCACGTCTAAGACAGCCACTACCCAGAACTTCCTGAAAAATATGAATGAGGAGACCAATGTGAGTGTTCGCTTGTATTAGTTGACAGTTGCCGGGTAACAAGTTAGCCCAGCCTGGTGGCTCAGTGGGACAAGCCCTTATGACCTCTCAGCTCCCGTGGGTCAGGACTCTGATGTGGCTTAGACTTTAGTCACTCTTGGGTGACTCCAGTTCAGGGTCTCGCACAGAACTGTAGTTAAGGTTGGTGAAGGCTCTGTTCACCTGAAGGCCTGACCGGGGCTGGATGGCCATCTTCCAAGGTGGCATTGCGTGAGGCTGGAGGCCTCGGATTCTCAGTGCGGAGCTCTCCTAGGAAGGCTTGATGGTGCTTGTCTGAGACCGTTGCTATAGCAAAAGGCCTGAGACCTGGTAAGTTCCGAGGAGTCGACGTTGACTTAAGGAACGTCCAAGAGCATGGTGCTGCCACCCGAGAGGTGAGGGCCTTCGTGGCACATGGTGGCACAGGGTGGGTGGGTGGCGAGGCGTCACACGGTGAGAAGAAGTTCACGTTCATAAAACAAAAAAAGCCACCACTTCCTTAGAACCCTTGAGTCTTACTCTGCAGATGGCTTGAGAGGCATTAGAGAGCCCCTCCATCCCGTGGCCCCCAGCGGTCCTGGGAGCCTCCGAAGCTCACTCACATGAAACAAGGGATGATGTCCAACGCATGGGATGTGCGGCATATTCCATCCACCGCAGTGACCCAAGGGCAACTGGCGTCCTTCATGGCGGAAATCCACATGACAGAAGCCACTGTGTTCCTTGTGACATGGCGTCAGGAATTCACTGTACCAGACAAGGCAGACAAACGTGTGTTTCTGATGACAATGTCAGAATCTACTAAATAATAAGAAGCTCACCAGGTTTAGCAGTTTCTTTGTTTGTTTGTTTGTTTGTTTGTTTGTTTGTTTGTTTGTTTCTTTCTTTCTTTCTTTCTTTCCCTTCCTTCCTTCCTTCCTTCCTTCCTTCCTTCCTTCCTTCCTTCCTTCCTTCCTTCCTTCCTTCCTTTCTTTTTTTTTCTTCCCGAGACAGGGTTTCTCTGTGTCACCTTGGCTGTCCTGGAACAAGATCTGTAGACCAGGCTGGCCTCGAACTCACAGAGATCAGCCTAGCTCTGCCTCCCGAGTGCTGGAATTAAAAAGGTGTAGCACCACCACCCAGCCTAGGTATAGCAGTTTCAATGGCAGCTATTATCATAATAGCTTGGTAGCCTGGGCAAGGTGAAGGCAAGTTCTTTATTCCTATTTTAGTGGCTGATATTAGCTTTCACAGCACGCCATAGATATACTATTTACCTATGTGTTTATATATGGATTACAGAGTGGATACAAGCAGAGGCCACAGCAGAGCTTGGGGGTCTCAGAAATGTGCTGGGAATCCGTATCAATGATCACGAACCCGGTCAGAGCCAGAAGGGAGATGCTGGGGTCAGGTTTGAGAGCAAAGCTGAGATTTCTTTTTAGCTGCCAGGTTAAAAAAAAGCTGAACTGGGTCAGGATACAGCAGGCCAGGACCAGGTCCAGACAGGTGAACAGATGGACTGGCAGGCAGTCAAGTACTCTCTGTCAACAGCAGAGGACAGAGCCCAGTCAGCCAGTCCTTGGCCCTGGATGCACACTGGTCCATAGACCAACAACTTTGGCACCAACTGGGAAGTTGTTAAACCCCTCACTCACTGAACCCCGGCTCTGGGTAGGGGCTACCGAGCTGTATGGCACAGCAGTCCAGCTGTGGCTGGTACATGGCTGAATATGAGTGTGTGTGTGTGTGTGTGTGTGTGTGTGTGTGTGTGTGTGTGTGTGTGTTCGTGTGAGCACGCATGCATGTGTGAGCATGTACGTGCCTGTGTGTACACTCAGTTCCTCTAAGGGGGTTGCAGGGAGAGAGAGTGAGGAGCACCTTGTCCACATGCAGGAGAGCGCAGGAGAACATCTTCCCTCCAGCTATGAGGCCCAGGAAGAAGCCTCTGGCTGTATAAGCTTTCTTTGGCCTCCCTATTAATGGGCAGTTGCCTTGAAAGCAATTTTATGTTTAAAACTCCTCTGCCATCGAGAGTGGTACAGCAGATATCATTGAAGTCATCTTTCCAGACTCTTAAAGGTCAGACAGTGGCCTTTTTAGAGGCCACCATGGTAGATTACCTTCCCTACCACATATCACCATGTGACCTTTCCTGGGAGTTTATTTCTAATCACCCAGATAGAAAGGGCTGAGAAACAATTCTTCCCAAGTCCGGCTCGGTGAACCAGATGAGTATGATTGGAGTCACTCTCAGAAGCAGGGCGACATGTAGGTGATAGTTAACTGGTTGTGTATCTTAGGGAGGGTTCAGAGTCCTTCCAGCCCTGCACCCTCCGATGAGGGGGTGTTAGTGGGTCCAACCTTGGGAGAGTCTCCTGTGGGGAATCACCAACTCTCTGATTTCAAGACAGTGTGGCCTTGGGGGCAGCATTCCACAGCCTGCTTTGTCCCAAGGCTCATGAGTGGCAACGTGGAATCGAACAGAAGGGAAGAGTGTTGTTAAGACAGGGTCTCACTGTTTAACCCTGGCTGGCCTGGCCTTGAACTCACAGAGGTCCTCCTGCCTCTGCCTCTTGAGTGTGCCATCACACCCAGCTCTGTCTTTGGCTCTTAAAAATGGTGAATCGGGGCTGGAGAGACGGCTCAGTGGTTAACGAGCACTGGCTGCTCTTCCAGAGGACCCAGGTTCAATCCCCAGCACCCACATGGCATCTCACAACTGCCTGTAACTCCAAAATCTGACACCCTCACACATAAGACACCCTCACTCATATACATGCAGACAAAGCACCAATGCACATAAAATAAAAATAAATTATAAAAAAAAATGATGACGCACGGACCTGCATCGTTCTAGAAGGCTAGTTTAGAAGCCAGCTGTTTTACTACCCTCTGCTCTGTTACAGATTGTGCTGATGGTCAGCTTCTCCTCACGCACCACATCCTTGGACATCCAGAGAAATCTAGAAGCAAATGTGGAGAAGCGGACGAAGGACACATATGGACCACCCATGGGGAAGCGCCTGCTGGTGTTCATGGATGACATGAACATGCCAAAGGTGAGCGGAGCTTACAGAGGTGGACGAGGTGGGCATGTGTAAGCTCATGGCTTTTTAAGATTTTTGTTATTTAAGACTAGTTTTAAATTTTATTATTTTTATGGGTGTGTACCTGTGTGTATATATGCCACATGTACCCAGAGACCAGAAGACGGCGTCAGATCCCCTGGAGCTGGAGTTACATGTTGTTGTTAAGCTGCCTGACATGGGAGCTGGGAACAGCACTCTGATCCTCTGGAAGAGCAGCAAGTAGTTTTTGTTGTTGTTATTGTTTTGTTTTTGGTTTTTCTAGACAGGGTTTCTCCATGTAGTTTTGGTACCTGCCTGGATCTCGCTCTGTAGACCAGGCTGACCTTGAACTCACAGAGATCTGCCTGCCTCTGCCTCCCGAGTGCTGGGATTAAAGGTGTGCACCACCACCGCCACTGGGCTTGCAGCAAGAGTTTTTAATTATCTGTCCATTTGCAATATATCTGACCATCTATACACTTTCCATCCATCTATCTAGTCAACTGTTACCTACTGTTTTATTTATCCACAGACCTGCATCTGTTATTTTTCCATCTGTAGTTAAGGAATCTGTAGAATCCCATCCATCCATTATCCATCCACCCATCCACCTCTCCATCCATCCACTCACCCACCCATCTACAGAATCTACTCATCCATCCATCCATCCATCCATCCATCTATCCACCCAACCACCTACCCATCCATCTATCTATATCCACTTACCCATTCACCCACCCATCCATCCTTCCATCTACCCATCTACCACCTTCCATCCTACCCATCTACCACCTACCTACTCATCTATTTACCCACCCATTCACCCATTAATCTACCCAACTACCAATCCATCTACCTACTCATCTATCTATTCATCCACTTAACCATCCATCTATCTATCCACTTACCTATCCATCCATCCATCCATCCATCCATCCATCCATCCATCCATCCATCCTTCCATCCTTCCATCCTTCCATCCATCCATCCATCCATCCATCCATCCATCCATCCATCCATCCATCCATCCACCCATCCACCTCTCCATCCATCCACTCACCCACCCATCTACAGAATCTACTCATCCATCCATCCATCCATCCATCCATCTATCCACCCAACCACCTACCCATCCATCTATCTATATCCACTTACCCATTCACCCACCCATCCATCCTTCCATCTACCCATCTACCACCTTCCATCCTACCCATCTACCACCTACCTACTCATCTATTTACCCACCCATTCACCCATTAATCTACCCAACTACCAATCCATCTACCTACTCATCTATCTATTCATCCACTTAACCATCCATCTATCTATCCACTTACCTATCCATCCATCCATCCATCCATCCATCCATCCATCCATCCATCCATCCTTCCATCCTTCCATCCTTCCATCCATCCATCCATCCATCCATCCATCCATCCATCCATCCATCCATCCATCCATCCATCCCATTTGCTGAACTACTCCCAGGAAACTGGTGCTGTGAGGTGTGTAAGCCTCTGCAGTCACTGCCTTCATGGGATGCACAGTATAGTGAAGGAGACAGACTTCAGGTGTGAATAGACAGACTTGAGAAGCCCTGTGAGGCCAACCTAGAATGCTCAGGGGGAAGCAGGAGAGGTGAGCATTCAAGGTTCACACAGTCTTACCTAGCTCTGCTTTGTTTTTCTTTTCTTCTTCTTTTTCCTCTCCTTCTCCTTCTCCTCCTCCTCCTCCTCCTTCTCCTTCTCCTTCTTCTTTTTTATAGTTTTTTGAGACAGGGTCTCTCTGTGTAGCTTTGGAGCCTTTCCTAGAACTCATTCCATAGCCCAGTAGCCCAGGCTGGCCTCGAACTCACTAGCTCTACTTTTTGATAATCTCCCAGGTGGACGAGTACGGCACCCAGCAGCCCATCGCCTTGCTGAAGCTGCTGCTGGAAAAGGGTTACTTATACGACCGTGGGAAAGAACTCAACTGTAAGAGTATCCGTGACCTGGGCTTCATCGCTGCCATGGGCAAGGCCGGAGGGGGCCGCAATGAGGTGGACCCCAGGTTCCTCTCGCTGTTCAGCGTCTTCAACGTCCCTTTCCCATCAGAGGAGTCTCTTCGCTTGATCTACTACTCCATCCTGAGGGGCCACACCTCGGTAACCCGGCCTTCCCCACAAGTCTGAACTGGAGGTCGACATGCTGGGTGGGAGCGGGGGCAGGGCTGTTTAATGTACCTTAGAGTGGGGTCTGTGCACTCCAAGGCCAGGAGGGGAGGGTGTGGTGTGAGGAGCAGGAGGAACTGTGAGCCTCATCTGAAGCTGTTTAACTGCAGAGGATGTCATATGCCACTGTCAGAGTGGGTTTAGTGGCGAGCTGCACATGTGTGCAGGTGCACACACATGCATACGTAGGTAAGAATGCAAACTTCACATAATGTAAAATGCATTATTTTAACCATTTTAACACATGCAATTTAGAGGCATTTGGTCCATTCAGTCTTGGCTAACTATTCTCACTGTGTAAATAGAACATTTTTTTTTTTTTAACCAAAGGAAACCTACACCCATTACAGATTGCCCTCCCTGCCTCCCAATGCCTGGAAGCCACGTGGCCTCTGTTGTCTGGTTTCTCTTACTTAGCTCCAGGTTTTCAAGATTCACCCACGTGTCAGTGTTCTGTTCCTTTTCCTGATCAAATACTATTCTACCATGAAAATACCACATTTTGCCGGGCGGTGGTGACGCATACCTTTAATCCCAGCACTTGGGAGGCAGAGCCAGGCGGATCTCTGTGAGTTCGAGGCCAGCCTGGTCTAGAACAGGCTCCAAAGCTACAGAGAAACCCTGTCTTGAAAAACAAAAACAAAACAAAATAACCACATTTTGCTTATCCATTCTTCTACCGATAGACATGGTGGTCTTTTCTTTTTTTTTTTTTTTAAGAACTTTAATGAGAGCATCGGGGGCATAAGCAGGAAGCTGACATTCTGCACATTAAATCTTTACAAAAACATTGTTCAAGATCTGCCTCCCACCCCTTCGAAGTTCCATTACATCTTCAACCTGCGAGACCTCTCCAGAGTTTTCAACGGTCTTGTCCTCACGAATCCAGATCGGTGAGTTTGGGGGCTCATTTGTTTTTACTAAAATATGCCCCAAAGTGGCAGTTCTCAAACTTTCACAGGGGTCGCCTAAGACCGTGGAAAACACAGATATTTACGTTATGATTCATAACAGTAGCAAGGTGACAGCTATGAAGTAGCAGCGGAAATCACTTTATGGTTGGGGGTCAGCACAACACAAGGACTGTGTTATAGGATCGCAGTGTTAGGAAGGTTGAGAACCACTGCCCTAAAGGCACAAGGGCTTTGGTTGGGACTTTTCAATGAATCGGATGGGTCAGAAAAATGTGTCAGTGAATCACACGGTGTCTTTGATTATGTTGATTGAGAAAACAGATAAACCTTTAGGGTGATGCTCCTTCGCCCCCGAAGTTGGGGTGTGTACAGGTGTCTGCGGCTGGATCTGCATGGAGCCTGCGGCTCATTTGGCTACAGCGTTTGCAGCTGGTGCGTCCCCAGGGGTCACCAGACACAGCTCGGAAACGTTAGGGCTCTGTACTGGGAGATTCTCAGGGCCACCAGACTCCCATCATTCCTTGGCTGCTCTGGTCTCTGTGGATCTGCAGGGAGGGGCCCACTATGTGGCTCTTCCCCGGGAGCTGGCCACACTGAAGAACAGTAGAGGGCTCTTGACAAGGGCTTTAACCTGCCTCGGAGTGCTGTGGATGGTTTAGAGTGGCGGTCTTCCCTGTTCCTAGTCTTTTGGATGGGGTAATGGCTCTTCACCGGGAACTAGAGAAAGTTCTGGAAGCAGGACCAGGAAAAGGAGCCCTGAGGCTGATTCTAAGTTCACACGGGCTTTGGGCTGTCTACACGACTCACAGGATGATTCCATTTCTTCCTTATAATAGGGTAAGCCATGGGGTGATGACTTTGTGATCCCTGTATTTAACTTGCCAGCTTCCGGCTAGAAAGGGACAGAGAGGCTCTCAGGGCTCTTGTACTCCCCCATCCACCGGAGCCCCTTCCTCCCCAGGGGACCTGGTGACCAACAATGTTGCCCTCCCTTCATGCAGGTTTCAGACGGTGCCTCAGATGGTAAGGGTGTGGAGAAACGAGTGCCTGCGGGTTTTCCATGACCGGCTCATCAACGAAGTAGACAAGCAGCTGGTGAGCATGCGCACCATGCACCTTAGTGGGTGGGAAACCCCACATAGAGTCCGAGTGCAACACACGCCAGTGAGGCCAGCAAGATGGGTCAGCAGGCACTTGCCGCCAAGCCTGATAAGCTGAGTTCCATCCCTGGGGCCCACATGGCGGGAGGAGAGAACTGACTCCCAGAAGTCATCTTCAGCCCTCTACGTGTGTCCTCTTGGCACAAATAAATAAGTAAATGTAATTAAAATGAAAAAAGAAAGTTTAGAAAAAAACAAAACCAAAAGAAACCAATGTAGCCCAGCCCTTGGGAGACAGAGTCAGGTGAATCTCTGTGAGTTCGAGGCCAGCCTGGCCTACAGAGTGAGTTCCAGGAAAGGCGCCAAAGCTACACAGAGAGACCCTGTCTCGAAAAAAACAAAACAAAACAAAACAAAAAAACAAACAAACAAAAAAAAAGTTAAAAAAGAAAGAGAGAAGCCGGGTGGTGGTGGCGCATACCTTTAATCCCAGCATTCGGGAGGCAGAGTCAGGCGGATCTCTGTGAGTTCGAGGCCAGCCTGGGCTACCAAGTGAGTTCTAGGAAAGGCGCAAAGCTACACAGGGAAACTCTGTCTCGAAAAACCAAAGAGAGAGAGAGAGAGAGAGACAGAGAGACAGAGAGACAGAGAGACAGAGAGACAGAGAGACAGAGAGACAGAGAGACAAGAAAGGAAGGAAGGAAGGAAGGAAGGAAG